GTTTTCCTAAGCTTTTTCGTTATATAAACTACCAAAGGAAGTTGTAAAGGACTGTATAAATGTTCATCTGCCAGTCCTTCAGCTTTGATATAAGCAGTAATATCAGCCTGTCTTTAAAAAGTGGTTTTGAGGATTATTGAGTGTGTGAAACTCATTGAGCAGTGAAAAGGGATATATAAATGATAATTGTTATAAAAAACTGAATGACTTCCAGAGCACTTAGTAACAGAAAGTAGTTGTAGCGGACATACCTTGGTTCAGTGATGTAGGAATGGCAGTTAAAAATGCCCTGGCTTCTTTTAAAAATGCACACCAAAACTTATTGTACTTTGTTTTCCAAGGAAAACAAGTTGTACCAGCTATGTATCAACACAACTACATCATTCAGATCTTTTGTCCTCTTGGTAAAATATTTTATGCAAGTATGTATAATTATGTAGCACAAGGTGCAAAAACACCTGACCTTTCCTTGTAATTAATCTGTTTAACTGTCATCCAAGTGGTACCTTTTGCAGGAAATATATTTTAGGGTATGATATTGCCATCTGTGCTTTATGAACAGGTTGTCATGGGCATAGTGAATCCTACGCCAGAAGCTTAGTTTTTGACCTGTATGGTTTGATGCTGAGGAAGATGTACAACCATAGCTGTGTAATCTACAAGTTTTACTCCAGCTGGAAACAATAATAATTTGTCTATGCCTTGATACAAGTGTATGATAATCAGCATAGCTGGATTTAGGTAAAATCTGGAATACTTTATAGTAATTTAAATCTGTGCCTGCAGGAGGCATGTGTCAGTAACTGGAAATAAGATGTTAGTCTTTTCAAACACTGCCACTAGCTGTATTGTGGATCTTTTTAGAAAGGTATGTTTTAAAAAGGAAGATAGAACATTAAAATGTGGATTGGATTAAATTCATCACTATATTTCAACACTAGTTGTTTTTAGGCAGCATCTCAAGACGGTTACAGTCTACAGAATTCTGAGCTCCAACACACCCAGCTTTTTCACTCATCCTCCCCTCCACTTTTTCTTCTTGTTGTTGTTGCTTAACATCCATCTTGAAAAGAGATCTGGAGAACTCAAAAGGCTTGCTCACTATTTCCGGGTATTAAGGTATTGCTGTATAGTACTGTGATTTCCCTCCAGAATGCAGGAATGGAGGGGTAGCTGTAACATTAGGCAGGGTTAAATGACTGCTCCTACTATTCTGTGGAGCAGTGTGGACATTATCACATTGCCGGTTTTGCAGCTGAAACTTAGTTCCAGTCCAGATGGAAGTGGGAGAATGCCATCTCCTCCTGTAGTAAAATGATTCATGCCAGCCCTGGTGGAAGGAAGGAGGGAAGGAAGGATTTTCATTTCTTGAATTGAATGTCAGATTATTTTTGTTCATATCAGGAGTTTTTTCCTGCATATGCAACTTCTCTTGGGAGTAAAAAATGCAAAATGCTTTTGTATGTTCAACCGCACCACATATTTGTATAATGCTGCTGTGTATTATTTTGGTCATAATATATTAAACAAAAATACAATCTGAAAAAGGGTATGGAAACTAAAATTGTCAAGAGTTTGGTTAAAATCCTGTATCCACTTACTTGGGTATAAGCCCAACTATAACCTAATTGGAAACTCTTTATGAGTGCACGTAGGATTGCAGTTTTAAATAAATGTTTAAAAGTTTTAAAGCTTCACAGGGCAGTCCTATGTATGTATATTCGGAAGTAAGTCTCACTGAGTTTGAGGGGACTTAATCTCAGGCAACTGTAAGTGTATATAGGATTGCAGCTTAAATACAGAAAACTTACTACTGTATTGGGGAGAGCAGACAAGCAATTTCTTAATTTGTACTAAAACTTTGGGACATCCAGTGAAGTCAAATTAGTGTCGATCACAAACTTACATAGCATATACCACTTAAGAGTTAATAATTAACGTATAAAATTACAAGATATGATGGTAATTACTAGCTTTGAAAAAATGAAAGGGGAGAAAGGATTTGGTATATTAATGCAGGAAAATTCTATTAAAAGCTGTGAGTCATGATTATTGAATAGAAACTCAGAGTGTTTATTAATGGAATAATAATTTTTCTTTTATTGGTAAGTGTTGGGTAGGAGAACTACAAATCCTCTCACCGGCTGCCCTCTATTCAATGGTTTCCCAGGAAATGTCTCTTGACTGCTTCTCTAGCTTTGCAGATTTATGCATACTCAGGCACACACACTTTCAATCCTCTTGAGCATTTGATTACTGAGGGTTTTTTTTTAAAAGGGCTACTAGTTTCTGAATTTAAGGCCTCTGATGGCTGTACAGTTCAGCCTTTAATTAGGCCTGTAGCCAGGTTTGCATTCTTTTTGGGTCAAAAAGTGATAAAGGAGTGGCTTATTCTGTGCCCGTAGGACTAGACTACAGGAACTTGAGCAATAATTCAGGTAACTATTTAATCTTAATACCAGTCACCTGTTAACTCCTTTTGAAAATAACCTAGATCATAGCTTTTATATTTTTAATGTGCACTTGTGAAAGGGTTGGTATGAACTTCACAGATTAGCAGTTGATCATTCTCACTGGGAAACTGACAAGGTCACACTGAAGTTATATTTATACCTGTGAAAACAACAAATGACGTTAACATAGCATAACATTGCATAAATGTATAGATTTTCATGGGTAGCATTTGATTGCTGCTGGAGCTGCAAGTTGCTTTGGATGATATTGATGCAGCAGCAAGAGTTTATGCATAACACTTCACATATTATAGGTAGGCAAGATAGAAAAATACATTCCCATGAGAAGGTAAACTGTTTTATATGATAATTAAACAGCAGTTGTGCAAAAAACCATTGTATGAGAAAAAGGAGCTGCCCCAGTAGCATTTGAAGTTTTCTATAGCATTTTATGTTTATAGTATATTTTCAGTCTTGTGCTGTCAGATTTTTCTCCAACCTAAGAAAATCACATTGCTTTGTAGCAATAGAACTTTGTAGCAATGCAAAACAAACCTACCTATTTCCAGCTCTAAATTGAGCTAATAGATTGGAAATACTAAGTAATGAATTTGTTCAACAATGGTTTCTGAACAAAGAATTTTCCTCTGAGATCAAAATGATAGATTTTTGTGTGTGTGCTAGTATAAAAGTGTGGAAGCCTTAGATCAGGCATAGGCAAACTCGGCCCTCCAAATGTTTTGAGACTACAATTCCCATCATCCCTGATCACTGGTCCTGTTAGCTAGGGATGATGGGAGTTGTAGTCCCAAAACATCTGGAGGGCCAAGTTTGCCTATGCCTGACTTAGATATTGTCACAGAGTCAGCTGGTCAGTAAATCACAGTTCAGAGCTGGAGTTATTAGAAAAACACAATCTTTACAGACTTAGCTGGGTTTCATGCTCAGTGAGCACAGCAGCTCATGCCCTGTAGGTCCCACTCCATTAAATCAGTTGCTGAAACTAAAGGTCTCTGCTTCACCACAGCCATCTATGTGTCCTCCTCTCCAGGGCTTCTTCCGAACAATTGGAGACAGCGCTGCATGCAGCCTATCTTTTCTTTGCCCATTTCATCCCTCTACTTGTTCGGGGAGTCGGGGGGGGGGGGAGCTTGTCTCAGCAAGGAGGGGTGACACCCAGGAGTCTTCAATACCTTACTAATCTCTACCTCTTGACCTCCCTTCTCCCACACGGCTGCTTCAGCTTCTGCCTCTGATGCTTGACTTCTCTGCCACATACTCTCCCAACTCATTGAGCCTTAATGCCCCTTCAGCTTCTGACAGCTTCTTTCCCCAGACTTCTCCCTGTAACCACAAACCGTTGTCTCACTACCACTCCCTGGACTCTGAGCATTCGTCCCTTGATGGTTCCCCAGCTGGTTTCTCCCATCACTCCTCTGTGTCCAACCAGTCCATGACAGATTTGCCCTTAGCAGATGGCAACCTACACATCTTTCATTTACCACTGTGTAAGGCTGTAGGGGGACGCGGGTGGCGCTGTGGGTTAAACCACAGAGCCTAGGACTTGCAGATCAGAAGGTCGGCAGTTCGAATCCCTGTGACGGGGTGAGCTCCCGTTGCTCGGTCCCTGCTCCTGCCAACCTAGCAGTTTGAAAGCACACCAGTGCAAGTAGATAAATAGGTACCGCTCCAGCGGGAAAGTAAACGGCGTTTCCGTGCACTGCTCTGGTTCTCCAGAAGCGGCTTAGTCATGCTGGCCACATGACCCGGAAGCTGTATGCCAGCTCCCTCGGCCACTAAAGCGAGATGAGCGCCGCAACCCCAGAGTCGGTCACGACTGGACCTAATGGTCAGGGGTCCCTTTACCTTTACCTTTATACAATGAACTGGCCTCCACAGTCATTTATGGACTCCACAAACCGTGTTTATGGAAGACAATCTTAGTAGGCGAAGAGTGATCGCCAAAGAGAGAAGAAAGAGACCTGTTCAGACACCTTTCGGCACCTGAAAGCCTGGCCATCTAATGGCACAGCAGGCCTGAGGTGTAGTGGGTATATCACAAGGGAAAGCGGAGTATTTCTGGGAGCCTTTAGGAATTTGTCTTCTTATGATCCAGCTCATATATCTCAGTGTCAGGGATCTCCTGCAAAATCTCAAATCAGAGCTTTCAGTACTGAAGGATAAGTTTTTATTGCTGCTTGTGGCAGAGAACGTTTTAAATGTGTGAATTTACAGGAGTGTTGGGCTATAACATGAGTTTTTCCGAGGGGTTTGTTAGAAAAGTTGCTTTTGAGTCCATCCTACCACACGTCTCTGTACCCTCTCGCCCAAAGAATCAAACACATTTAAGAGCCTATATTGGCTGACCAAAATGGAGCGTGTACACTTTTGCTTTTGAAAGGTGCCTCACTGCTTCATTTTCCAAGCTGACATCAGGGGCCCTTATGAAGATCAGGCCTCAAATACGCATTTCAGTGGCTGATTTAGAAATGAGGCATGTTTGCCCTGGCTTGAACTAGACAAGCAGTAATAAATATCCAATGTGCCATGTGGAGGTACATGAGGCTGCTACCGTTCCTTGGGTTCTGTGATGGAAGCAAGGCAAACTGCAAAGGTAGGAAAATAAATGAATAGAATGACACAATAATGCTGCAATCTCTCATTGGGCCATGGTTCCAAAACTGCAACTTAACTCCTCTTTTCCCCTGTAGATGTCCCGGAATCGCCTGTAACTCCTGAAGTGAAAGACCTTTCTCCTGAGCCAGACCCGAACCCAGAGCCTGATCCTCTGCCCATGGAGGTAAAGACTGGTTTTGCAGGCATGTTTCAGACAGTGGGAAACCCCACATTCTGAACATGGGGTTGTCTTTTATACAAACGTCCTTCGCTTGCTTGGCTTATGTAATTTTATGGAGTGGGGAGAGTTTTTGTGGGGTTGGTAAAAAAAAGGTAAAGGGACCCCTGACCGTTAGGTCGCGTCGTGGCCGACTCCGGGGTTGCGGCGCTCATCTCGCTTTACTGGCCGAGGGAGCCAGCCTACAGCTTCCGGGTCATGTGGCCAGCATGACTAAGCCGCTTCTGGCGAACCAGAGCAGCGCATGGAAACGCCGTTTGCCTTCCCACCGGAGCAGTACCTGTTTATCTACTTCACTTTGACGTGCTTTTGAACTGCTAGGTTGGCAGGGGCATGGGACCCGAAGCAAACGAGAGCTCACCCCATCACGGGGATTCGAACCGCTGACCTTCTGATTGGCAAGTCCTAAGGCTTCTGTGGTTTAACCCACAAGTTGCCAACCCGCGTCCCTTCTTGTGGAGTTGGAGGAGAAGGAATTAAGGAGGAAGTCTTACCTGGGTCTAAACTATATTCTAAGGTCTCAGTAGAAGCTTCATTTGCTTCTTAATCTTGCTTAAAAATATTTATATAAATGTATCTCAAGCTGTTGCTTCTCATATACTAGATCACTGGCCCAAAGTGGCAGAATTGGGAATGTAGTGCAAGATGAGTGATTCTCAGTTCAGCTGTAATTGCTTTCATTGCCTTCTTTGACACCGATGGGCTTAGTGAGAAGTGAATTCTTCGTGGCCACAGCCTCCATTACAAATGATCCGACCCAGTCATGCAATCACAAGCAGATGCCACTTTGCTCTTAACGCTTGGCTGAAAACCCAAAATTTGGCAGAGAGACAAAACCTATTTGCGTTATTGTCGGAGTCGGTTAACATCTCCAGAAGCCCAAAAGGTTTCCCTTCAGAATCAATTCAGCAAACTTCTCTCTTCAAAGTGGGGTGAATGAAGAAATTGGATGTATTCTGGTTGTTATAAAACGCCACCCAACTTCCAACTTTCCCCAGCTACGCACTTTGATTTTAAAAGCTGAACTGATTTTTCTTTTTCTTTTTAGGGTGCTTATTTCTGAGTAAGGGACGCGGGTGGCGCTGTGGGTTAAAGCCTCAGCGCCTAGGACTTGCCGATCGAAAGGTCGGCGGTTCGAATCCCCGCGGCGGGGTGCGCTCCCGTCGTTCGGTCCCAGCGCCTGCCAACCTAGCAGTTCGAAAGCACCCCCGGGTGCAAGTAGATAAATAGGGACCACTTACTAGCAGGAAGGTAAACGGCGTTCCGTGTGCTGCGCTGGCTCGCCAGATGCAGCTTGTCACACTGGCCACGTGACCCGGAAGTGTCTGCAGACAGCGCTGGCCCCCGGCCTATAGAGTGAGATGGGCGCACAACCCTAGAGTCTGGCAAGACTGGCCCGTACGGGCAGGGGTACCTTTACCTTTACCTATTTATGAGTAAATTGCATAGATCCAACTTGTAAAATACACCTCTCTGCTTTTGGAGGCAGAGGGAATTACAAGTGCTGTTGCAGTCAGGTCCTCCTCGTGGGTTTCCCAGAGGCCTCTGGGCAGCTATTGTGAGAATAATGATTGATGATGAGGATAATAATAATAATTTATTATATGCTGCCCCTCCGACTGCGTTGCTCAATTCACTCTGGGCGGCTTCCAACAAATCAAAACATCAAACACAGTAAAACATTGAAATCTTCCCTGCTTTCCGCCGGGAGGAATGGCCTCTTCCATTGGTAGCACATTGAGCCCCTCCCCTGGTCCTGGCAGCCACTAGAAAAGGGGCAAAAAGTAGATGCTGTTTGTCGCAACGTTCACTGCACACCATCTTCACAGTCTGCACTGTCCTCTTTTTTTTCAGCATCGGCAGGAGAGAAGAAACGGAAGCGGAAGCGAGTGCTGAAGTCCAAAACGTTTGTGGATGAGGAAGGCTGCATAGGTGAGGCTTAGCTGTGGGGCTGTCCTGGATTAGCCAAATGAACCGTGTTCGTTTTAACTGATCGATTAAGTAACGTAAACAGTAGCAAAAACAGCGAGCTGCTGTTGGATACGGGAGGGCAAATCCCTTTGGGCTCTCTATTAACAGGTGCGGTGCAATTTGCGTAGCATCCTAAGTTACCCTGCCAAGGCTCGGGACGCGCTGGCATTTTGTGTAGGACCCCTTTCTCAAGACCCGTTGGAAGTGGGGGCCTTGGGAGCCTGGGAGGAAAGTGGGGAAGTCTGTCCGTGTGTTGATGAGAAACCCTTGGGTGCGCATTCATCATGCAAACCTCTAGCCTGGGTTTTGTCAAGTTAGAAATGGATTAAGGATCTGACTTTTCAAGTTTGGCCAAGTGTTCTGGCCTCCACTTCAGGCGCCTCCGAAGAAACAGGCTCTTTCTTTTCTGTCTATCCTCAGCCAACCTCCCCCCGCCCCGCCCCCACCTCTCCGAAAGGATGCATCCAGAGCTTGCAATAACAAAGATGGACCCCCCCCTCCCTTCCAAAGAAAGTGTGGGTTTACTCTTTAACTTCAGTCTTTTCTAAACATGTCAAGAGTGGGAAGCTTTCCTTCACCACTTGGAATAAATAGTCCTCTCTGGAATGCTGACATTACCGATTTGCAGTCCAGATCCGGCCCAGTTCATTGCCTACCCGCACCTCTGGTGTGTTCTTGGCAGACGGTCTGGTGTAGCAAAGAAAGAACGGAAAGGAATCGTGGTGAGAATTGTTTGGGTGGGAGAAGAGGCCTAGCCATACATTCAAGTCAGAGATCTGAATGTTGCCTTTGCCCAAACTTCCAGAATGTTGTATTTGTATATGCACATCTGTCAGGGGTTGGGATGAGGGGCATTTGGGTCGTAGGTATGTAGAGGATTTCTAGGTGTCCAATCCAGAGAGATTTCCCACTCCTCCCATGTTTAACTTTGGGTTCCTGTTGGGAGCCAAGCTATTATGGCTTGCGTCAGGGGTTTCATACTACAGGTCATACCTCGGGTTGAATATGCTTCGCGTGGAGCGCATTCGAGTTGCGCTCCGCGGCAACCCAGAAGTAACGGAGCACGTTACATCCTGGTTTCGCCGCATGCACAGATGCTCAAAATGATGTAACGCGCATGCGCAGAAGTGGCAAAAAGCGGCGCGCGCAGGTATGCCGTCACTAGTTGTGTTTCCTTCTGGATGCGAACAGGGCTGCGGAACAGATCCTGTTCGCATCCTGAGGTACCACTGTATATGGATTCAGTCTAAGGGTGAGGAAAGGCCAGCAGGCCCAGGAATATAGTTCTCCAGCAGAAGAGCGGTGAAGGAAAGATGGGAGTTGGGTTGGGCAGCAATTAGGACTCCGTGCCGTGCTTGCCTCCTTTGGTAGCCTTCAGAATTGGGGGGTTGATCTGGGGCAGTTTTAAGAGACTGTTGGGTAACCCAGAGGCTGCAAGAATCAGGGACTTTCCAGTGGTGCAAACGGTTCACACCGCCCTTTTGTTTCCAGTGACCGAAAAGGCTTACGAGAGCGAGTCCTGCACAGACAGCGAAGGCGACTTCCGCTCCAAGCCCTCCGCGGCTCGCAAGCCGCCTGCCGGGGCTGCCAAGAAAGAGCCCAAGGAGGAGAAGAGAGGCGCAAAGAGAGCCACAAAGGCCAACAAGCAGGCTTCCATCATGGGCTTCTTCCAGAAGAAATGAGCTCCAGCCGCTGCCTGGTTTGCAGAAGCTGCGTCAGAGGAGGCCGCCACCCTTTTTGAGGCACAAATACTTACCGTGTAAGTGGGCTTTCTCCGGAACCGGGAAACGAGACTCGCCACACGTGGGAACCTTTCGGTGCCAAAGCTGCTTAGAAAGCAGCCACTAGAGGCAACAGAGTCGCTGTTCGAGAATCAAATTAATTTGCTTTGTGCGGGCCTCTGAAATATATATCTCTATATGTAAAGGCCAATTGTTTCTTTTAGCCGCCCCGTCCTGCGGCAAGCCCCGCAGGTGGGCTTGCCTCTCCCACTGGCTCAGGTCAACGAAATGTGACGCGTCTCAGTATCCCCACCAGCTATCGCTGTCCCACCTCCAACCCTTTCCTCTCCACAGTGGTGCCTTCAGAGAGCTTGATGGAGTCTTCAAGGTTTCTCTGCGGCCAGGCAGCTATTTGGAAGGGAAATCTCGCGGGCCCTTCACACGGTTGCCTGCTCTTGTAGCTATGCGGAAGGGCAGCGATAGCTTAAGAACGTTGGTGGGTCTTTTTCCTTGCCTCAACCAAACGCTGTGAAAGGCGGGAGAAGCAATGGCAGCTTTAGAAATGTCGAAAAGAGTATTCTGGCTGTGAGTCTTGACGCAGGCTGTGTCTGTTATGATAAACACTGGAAATGAGAAACAATTCAGAACCAGTCCGGACTCCCCTCTTCGCTCCATCTGTTTGTATGGGGCTTTTGCCCAAATAACCTTTTGCCCTTCTCGTCTTCCTCCTGTCATTCTGAAAGGGAGCCCAACCAAAGACCGCCTGTAGCTGCTGCCTTGCATGGGGTTTGCATCAGTTTTAGCATAAACAAGGTGGGTTGGGGTCTCTGACTGGTTGGCTTCCTTGATCAACTGCCAAGCAGGGTGTGTCCCCCCCCACTTTAATGGAGAAACCATTTGTTAATGAGGAACCAAATGACGAGCAACACCGTTTCGGAAGATCCAACACTTTTTTTTAAAGTTAGAATGAAAGGAAAGGTGCAGGGATGGAGACCGGCCATTCTTCTCACAGTGCTGCAGTTTGGACAGATCCGTTCAATGAAACATTAAGAGAGGGCAAGAACTCCATTCTGGTTTGGTTTAGGTCTAGCGGTGGAGTGGGCGGTCTTCCACAGCCACTCACTAAACCACAACCAAAATAGAGTAGCAGGTAGAGCTGCTGGTGACGTTAAAAAGAAAAGAAAAGTCATTTGCCTATTATAGATGGTGCCCAGGCCAAAGGAAAAACAAAAGGGGTTCATTATTCAAACCCCATATTACAGAAATAATATTTTTATTTTGAGGCTTAGCCGTGGAGGTTTCTCAACCTCCCCAAGCCCCTACTGAAACTAGTCTGGTTTCTGAAATCCATTATTTGAACAATCGGAATCCGTTCACGGCTGTTGCAGATGCACGAACCGGCCTGCCCCTCTGGCTGGCGTCCTTGGGGGTTTCACGTTCAACATGGTGTTCTTGTAGTTGCTGATTTTATAATGAAGTGCATTCAGTCCTTAGCCCAGGCCTGCAGGCTGACCTTCCTGACAGACAAGCCTGCTTGGCCTTCTCATCCCAGCTTTCCCCTACGCTTGGGAAGGTGGGTTTGGCAGCATCCTCGCCTACGACCATTCCTTCCCCAACCTGGTGCCCTCCAGATGAATTTGACTATTAACTCTCACCAGACACAAGCAGCAGGGGTGTTCTGGTGAGAGAGTTACAGCCCAAAACATGGAGGGCACAATGTTGAGTGAGACTACTCTTAAGGAGTTCAGGCCAACAGCTGAGTAAGGCTTCACATCCTTGGGTTAGCGTTGGTTATTTTTTAATATGAAATAGGAGGCCTCTGCTGGAAAGCCTTAGTCCATTTTTTGCCAATCTTTTTTTTTTTAACTCTTTCCCAATAAAATAACACTTTCCCCTTCCTCCTTTGTGTGCTCAGATGTTTATGTTGGGGCAAAAAAGCAAAATGTTAAATAAAGATGCGGTCTTCTGCTAAACATCTTTTTTTTAATAAATAAAAAAACCTTGCTGAAGAGATGTTTTTGTGTCTGAACTTGTGCTACTACCGCTTGGCTGAAGCATTTTCATTGAGCTTTGAAGGTTTTTCCATGCAACCGAATACTTAAGGATGAAGTCGTCCAAGAACTCTCTCTATCATGTTCAGAAGTACAAATACACATATAATTTAAAAGCCAGCTGGAATTCCTCACCTATCGCAGGGCAGCCAGGGATTTCAGAAGGGGCTTTTGAGCTGCTGAGTCTGCTGTCGACCCTTTCCTTTGGATGGAGGAAGCAGTCACATGACAGCTGGGCTCATCTTGCTCACCCATCAGCAACATGCAAGCTGGGGCTGATGGGAGTTGTGGTCCAAAACATCTGGAGGGGCACCAGGGGGGCATAGGTGCCCCAGAACCTGTACCACTCTGTGATTGGACGGGGGTAGCACTGTGGTCTAAACCACTGAGCCTCTTGGGCTTGCCAATCAGAAGATCAGCGGTTCGAATCCCCGCAACGGAGTGAGCTCCCGTTGCTCTGTCCCAGCTCCTGCCAACCTAGCAGTTCGAAAGCATGCTGGTGCAAGTAGATGAATAGGTACCTCTGTGGCGGAAAGGTAAACAGCGTTTTCGTGCACTCTGGTTTCTGTCATGGTGTCCCGTTGTGCCAGAAGTCACGCTGGCCACATGACCCGGAAAGCTGTCTGTGGACAAACGCCGGCTCCCTTGGTCTGAAAGCAAGATGAGCGCCACAACCCCATAGTCGCTTTGACTGTACTTAACAATCCAGGGGTCCTTAGCATTGCATCCACTTGTTTTTGGTTGTTGATTCCACCAAAAAAGATGGATGGAGTAAGAACTGACCAGTTGGTTAAATAAACTCTGAATTGGGTGGGTTGCAAAACATGAAACAGTCTACTTTTTGTGTGTGTGTACATAATTTTTATTAGTTTTCAATTACAAAATAGCAAAAACAAAAGCGCCAAACATACTCAGTTCTGGAAGTCCATTTGACTTCCGAAATGTTCAAAAACCAAGGCACAGCTTCTGATTGATGCAGGTGCCCCAGAAATAATAGCCAACAGCCGCATTGGATGTCCGGCGTCCAAATAAAATTTGAAAACTGGAACACTCATTTCCGGGTTTTCAGAGTTTGAGAACCAAAGTGTTTGAGAAGCAAGGTACCAGTGTATTTCCTTAGCAAGAGGAGCTACTGTCTGGTGGCAAACTTTGGTAGTCCCCACAATAGTGAGACTTAAATGACAGCCTTCCGCAATCTGCTACTCTGCAGATATTTTGGACTCGTGCTAGGGCTGATATACATAGTCCCAAGACATCTGCATCTCTTGAGGCTGAGAAAGACTGCTGCAAATAAAGTGCTGGGTTGCATTTATACTGATGGCAGCTTCCATACGTTCAGCTTCACCATACATGTGGCGTTTCACAACATTTTTGTGTGCAGAGGCAGTAGCGCTCTAACCTTTCACAGTGGTCACACAGATGAATGAGCATGTGCAGTTATCTGCCCTCTGGCTTTGCTTGGGGTGAGGATTAAGGAGTTAAGTCTAAATCATAGGAGAAAATTACGGGCTTGAATCAGGAGAGAATTGAAGTAACAGAGATGGAACAGCGGAAGGGAGTTATTGTAACAAGGCGCAGCTAATGCTAAAAAGTGTGGCGTTGTGAAAGAGTTTTAAAAAGGTCTCCAGTAATTCTTGTAGAGGCAGGGACATCACAATGGGGAAGTGTGATAAAGGATTCCATTTCAAAGGAACTTTTCCAGGAGAAGCAGCAGTAAATCTGGGGCAGTGGATGTGGCCTTTAAAGGATAAAAGTAACCTCCCATCATTTCCCTCCCAAAGTGCTCTTCCACATTCCCTGAGAGCAGCAGCAATTATTATTATTATTATTATTATTATTATTATTATTATTATTATTATTATTACCTCGCCCATCTGGCTGGGTTTCCCCAACCATTCTGGCTGGCTCCCAACAGGAAAAAACGTTATAAAACATCCAACATTAAAAAGCTTCCCTATACAGGGATGCCTTCAGGTGTCTTCTAAACGTCAGATTTAGGGAGGGAGGGAACAGCCAGAAGGCCCTTGGAGCTGGACCTCAGTGGACGATGGGGGTGGAGATGCTCCTTCAGGTATACTGGGCCAAGGCCGTTTAGGGCTTTAAAGATCAGCACCAACACTTTGAATTGTGCTTGGAAATGTAGCAGATGGAGTTGGTAGACAGTTGCCCTGGACACAGACTTGACCTGCACCTCCATGGACAGCGGTGAGTCCAAAATGACTCCCAGGCTGCGCACCTGGTCCTTTAAAGCCTTGGTTTAGGGCTTTTAAGGTCAGCACCAACACTTTGAATTGTGCTTGGAAACATCCTGGGAGCCAATGTAGGTCTTTCAGGATCAGTGTTATATGGTCTCGGTGGCAGCTCCCAGTCACCAGTCTAGCTGCCGCATTCTGGATTAGTTGTAGTTTCCAGATCACCTTCAAAGGTAGCCCCACGTAGAGCGCATTGCAGTAGTCCAAGCGGGAGATAACTAGAGCACGCACCACTCTGGTGAGACAGTCTGCGGGCAGGAAGGGTCTCATCCTGCGTACCAGATGGAGCTGATAAACAGCTGCCCTGGACACAGAACTGACCTGCCCCTCCATGGACAGCTGTGAATCCAAAATGACTCTCAGGCTGCGCACCTGGTCCTTCGGGGGCACAGTTGCCCCATTCAGGACCAGGGAGTCCCAGGGAGACTTCAAATGTGGTCCAAAATGATTTGACTGCATTTTCTCCCTGTAATGCTGCGCATTATCTCTAGAGGGAGTTGTGCCTTTATTTGCCTTTGCATCCTGTTCACATCCACTCAGTGCTACCTGCAGCTGGAACATAGGAAACTGCCTTTGCTGAGCAAGACCATCTCGTAGGATGGGCCCTGAAGGCCAGTCTCCGAGCAAAGAAGGTTCCTGCATTCTTGCTGCTCAGAATCAAAACTGTTTCGGTTTGCAGGCAAGTCTTTAGAACTCAGGACATAATAACATTTCAATCCACAGCTCTGCCCTAGGGCATGTGGAGCTACAGAGTGCCTCTGAGCCTTTGGGGAGTGCCATTGCAGGCAGCCAGGAACCTGTAAAATGATGTATTTTGCGCTTTTCTGTTGCAAACCACCCTGCGATCTTCAGATGAAGGGCGGCATCTAACTTTAATTAGCAATTAGAAGAAGAAAAAGCATTCAAACTTTGACGCTTGCTACATCCAGGCCTGCAAGGAAGCTGGCTTTCTCGTTAGCAGAAAGGTCAAGCTGTTTTGCTGCTTTGAGGTCTGGGAATGGCTCCAAATTAACCTCTGTGCATGATATTAATAAGGAGAGCGCGAAAGGCCACCATTTCAAAGGGGAAGGAAAAACGGCAGGCTGGCAGCTTCTGAACCCCAGGCTGGGAGCAGCAGGTGGCTGGCTCCCTGTTGGTGTCGCGATTGACGTACGCCAACCTTGGCTGCCTGCTTGTGCCTGCAAGAGCAGCAGGGGCTCCGAGGTCAGGGCTGAGGTGTGTCGTCAGGCCAGGGCGGAGGTATTGGGTCACAGATCAGGTACCCAGGTGGGTCTTGAGTCAGATCCAGCTCTGGTGCTGATGGCAGGTCAGAAGCGATGCACGTTAGCAGAAGTAAACTTGATGTAAGGGGGGGGATCTATTGGTCCAGGTGATGAGAGGAGCCTTGGAGGAACTGCGGGGTTGCAGGTGGGAAGGCAAATAGGGACAAATAAAGTCGGCAGCAGCTCCTCCTGATACTGTTGTTGTTGCTGTTTAGTTGTTTAGTTGTGTCCGACTCTTCGTGACCCCTGGACCAGAGCACGCCAGGCACTCCTGTCTTCCACTGCCTCCCGCAGTTTGGTCAAACTCATGTTTGTAGCTTCGAAAACACTCTCCAGCCATCTCATCCTCTGTCATCCCCTTCTCCTTGTGCTCTCCATCTTTCCCAACATCAGGGTCTTTTCCAGGGAGTCTTCTCTTCTCATGAGGTGGCCAAAGTCTTGGAGCCTCAGCTTCAGGATCTGTCCTTCCAGTGAGCACTCAGGGCTGATTTCCTTCAGAATGGAGAGGTTGGATCTTCTTGCAGTCCATGGGACTCTCAAGAGTCTTCTCCAGAACCAGAATTCAAAAGCATCCATTCTTCGGCGATCAGCCTTCTTTATGGTCCAGCTCTCACTTCCATACATCACTACTGGGAAAACTAGAGCTTTAACTATACAGACCTTTGTTGGCAAGGTGATGTCTCTGCTTTTAAGATGCTGTCTAGGTTTGTCATTGCTTTTCTCCCAAGAAGCAGGCGTCTTTTAATTTTGTGGCTGCTGTCACCACCTGCAGTGATCATGGAGCCCAAGAAAGTAAAATCTCTTACTGCCTCCATTTCTTCCCCTTCTATTTGCCAGGAGGTGATGGGACCAGTGGCCATGATCTTAGTTTTTCTGATGTTGAGCTTCACACCATATTTTGCGCTCTCCTCTTTCACCCTCATTAAAAGGTTCTTTAATTCCTCCTCACTTTGCAAACCCAGAATACAGTTATGCAGGATAATAAAAGCCAGGGAGAATCTGCTCAGTTTGCATCACTGATGCAGGGTGCAGAATACTGTAGAGCAGGGATGGGGAAATCGCGAGGCTCCTCTGTTTTGGGACACCCCCAAAACACTCTCCCCTAAGGCCACACCTCTCCTTCCTTCCTTCCTTCTTCCTTCCTTCCTTCCTTTTTTAAAAAAATCGTGTTTATTAAATATCTTCTTCTGTTACAAAGCAAACAAACAAGGAAAAGTACACATTGCGTCTCCATTTTTTATTCATAGTCTTTTTCACCATTTGTGTTCGGTATGAGACAAGGTTACCTAGGAGGAAAGGTTGAAAATCGTCCCCCCTGCTACCCTCCTGCTGTAGGATTTGTGCTCCACGACTGCGAGATTTTCACTCTAGCGCTGACCGCAGACAGCTGTGGCTACAAAGCGCCTCTGTCTATCGTGGATTAGACAGCCGTGCTGTTTAAAAA